ACATCGGCGATATATCGGCGACGTGTCGGCGATATATCGGCGATGTACCGGCGACGTCGGCGCAGCATCGGCGACGTCGGCGTGAAGTAAATCGGGCTCCACATCGAGCCGCATCGGCGATGCATCGGCGATGCGGCGCGATCCTCCGACCCAATCTGCTCGGACCCCACCTAGGAGGCCTGGGCGCAAGCAATGGCTGCCGTGCAGGCGATTGACCGGGCGCCGAGGGAGCCGACGGGCGCGGCGTTGGCCCGGCCTCTACAGTCAACCCGTATAGGAAGGACGATAAAAATGCAAGGGCGCCCAGCCAAAGCGGCCAAGCGTGGGCCGGAATGGAAGGGTGCAAGGGCCTCCTTGGAAAGTCGCTCATCCTTACTCTGCGGGTTGACTGTATGGCCCGGCAAGACTTGGGTTCGGGGGACTCGGGTTGGCCAGACGGGGCCATCATGAAAATGACGAGACCCAATCTGGAATTTGACGCGAGCTCCCGCTGCAGACATCCCACGAGAACTGGACGGTCAAAATCCAGATCGCGTTCGTTAAAGAGCGTCGGCAAACCCGAGTTCCGGCGTACCCGAGTCTAACGATTCCCCGATCCTGTTCCTCCCCCTCCCCCCGCTTCCCTCTTCCCTCCCTGCCTCGCTCCTTTTGCGCGTGCCTGCGCGCCAGGTCTGCACCGCCTCAGGCATGCACTGTTTACTGCCTCGCTGTGCGTCTCGCCGCACCGATTGGGGTCGTGCTCTTTTCGCATGGGGGGCAAGATTTGTCAACCCCTGCTTGCGTCAGCAGGAAACATCATGTCATCCCCAATGGTGCTCGTTCCTCTCCTCCTCCTTCGCCTCGGGGTCGAAACTTTTGTATAATTCATTCTCTATGCCCTGGCTCTGCGGCTTCCTCCCTCTTCTTCCTCCCTGTCGTCACCCCCCCTTTCCTTCTCCAATCTTCTCTCCCTCTCCTTACGAAACAAACACATGCAAAACTGGACGGCTGGTACGCAAAACCCTTTGAGACCCCAGGGGCTGCACAATTGCAATCCGGCTGGTGCACTCCAGCAGGCGCCCCAGACTATTGCTGGGCACAGTCACCATTGAAATCGGCTGCGCAAGGAGTGTATCGCAAAGAAGACATGCTACTGCCACTACTTTTGGGATGAGTACTACTACTACTACTGCTGATGCTACTACTGCTGCTGTTGTTGCAGCTACTACTACTACTACAACAACAACAACTACGACTACGACTACGACTACTACTATTACTACTACTACTACTACTACTACTACTACTACTACTACTACTACTACTACTACGACTGCTACTACTACTACGACTACTACTACTGCCACGACTATACTAGTAGTAGTAGTACTACTACTACAACTACTACTACAACTACTACTATTGCTACTCTTACTACTCTGTTTACTACTACTACTACTACTACCACCACTACTACTGTTACCACTATTTCTACTACTAGTAATACGACGACGGCGACTACTTCTACTTCTGTTACTACTACTACTACTACTATTGCTACTGCTATGAAAGCGACGACGCGACTACTATGAATACTAATTGTATGAATATTACTACAACTACTCCTGCTACTACTAATATGCTACTAGTACTACTACTACTACTACTACAACTACTACTACTACTGCTACTACTACTACTACTACTACTACTACTGGTACTACTACTACTACGACTACGAATACGACTACTACTATCACTCCTACAGCGACGACGGCTACTACTACTACTACTACTACTACTACTACTACTACTACTACTACTGCGAACACTCGTAGCACTACTACTGCTGCTGCTACTACTACTTCTACGACTATTTCTAGTACTACCACTATTGCTACTGCTACTGCTACTGCTACTGCGACTGCGACTGCTACTACTACTACTACTACTACTACTTCTTCTACTACTACTACTACTACTACTACTGCTAGGACTACGGCTACGGCTACGGCTACGGCTACGGCTACGACTACTACTCTGCTACTACTGCTGCTGCTAATGCTACTGCTACTACGACAGCCACCGCCATTGCCACCACGAGATCTACAACAACTAGAATATTACGACTACGTCTACGTCTGCGAAAACGACTACTACTTTTACGAATGCTACACGGCACATTTACCAACATGCCATTGACTTGAACATCTACTGCTACTGCGAGCCTAGCAAAGAGCCAACGGCCTAGCCGCTTAGCCGAATCTGTGGATGTCCGAAAAAATGTGGGTGGAAACGGAAGGCCCAATTATTGACAGACCCTTTCAAATTACATCCCATGCCGGCCCTCGTCCGGAAGGAAAACAATAGCAACTTGTTCAACTTAATTCTGACCAACGCTCTCAAAACATGTCGAATGGCACGCGCTGCCGTGGGCTTCCGTGCCCCCGTGAATACTACACGACACGAAGAATGCATAAGCAATTACGGTCGAACGCGACGCCGTGGATATCTTCAAAGGTCATACAAACCGCAACGGAATCATATGGCAAGACACGGTCGACGACTCAACACGCGAAAACAAGGAGGTGAGATTAGTGATTGCCTTGCTCCTGGCCACCAGGGTGCCCGGGGCTCCACCCTTCGGCAACGAGACAGCCTTGGGGTTCGTGTCCTCCTCCTTCCCGGAAGCGGCCTTCATCCCTGAAGGCCTGGAAGTGGGCACCCGCTGTGGGGAGCGGGCGTCGGGAGCCTGGAGGCAGCCAGCTCGCTGCCACCGAGAGCCTCGAAGCTTCACAGGGTTCGGGCGCGGGGAGAAATGGAGGAGGTCACTCGATACTGCCATGGGTATGGCCATGGCTACGAAGACAAGCAACCAAACCGATCTTGGTAGTGCTCTTGCATACAGGACCGATGCTGCCTGCAACTTCTACTCAAGACGATGCTTTTGCTGCCTACTCTGCAGCTGGCCCCGTCGCTCTCGCTCAGGGCGTCGCTCGGAGCATTCTCCTGAGCGCGCTGCGAGGGAAGTACAACATACACGTGACAAGCAACTCGGAAACGGCGAGCCCGATTGCAAACCACTTAGGAGCGGCGGGGGTAATCAGAGCCAAAGGGACCGCTGTACAAATGGAGAATATCATGGTGGTGGCCGCGGGGCCGCTGAGCCGGCTGACCAGGGAAGGACCACCAGCGGGGGCTTCCCCGAAGGTCGTCCCCGCCAAGCCCATGGTGAGGTGCATCGCGATCGCGTCGGTAAAGAAGCAGATGCTTGCGCAGCCGATGCAGATGTTCGTCATGTTCGAAAGGCCACTCTGCAAGCCATTGATAATTATTGGGGGGAGAGCCAGCGTGTGACAGAGGGAGCCAACGGCCACCACGTCGTACGGGACTGGCCCCTGTTCATGAAGCATTTCTTCAACGCGCTCCGTCAGGGACGTGTGCACATAGTGCTCGAACTGCGCCACTTCGCCGAACCAATCCTCTATCTGCCCTCGAACGAAATCGCGGTCGCTCTCCTCGCTACACTTTGCGCTCTCGAGTGTGAATTCTCGTACCTGTTGCAACAACTCGTTGCGGTCCCTCATGTGCCACTTGCAGAAGGTCCAGAATCCGCCACCGTGTCCCTCAACACGTTGACGTGTGTCATGACCTTTCCGGACAAGAACGGGAAGCGCCGCTTCCCTGAGCTTGAACGCGCATGCGTGCACATGGATGCATTCGCTGGGTTCCCCCAAATGCCCAGATGGTCGCCGTTGGTAGCTCGAGTGCGGTTGCTTTGGTCAGGCGTTGCGCGTGACCTATGATTGTGTGTGTGTGCGTATGTGCATGTGCATGTGTGTGTGTGTGTGTGTGTGCATGTGTGTGCCTGTGTGCCTGTGTGCAGCTGTATGTGTGTGTGTGTGTGTGTGTGTGTGTGTGTGTGTGCGCGGGCGTGTACAGGGTCTGTGCCAGGGGGTCGGGGGGAGGGGGTGCACGGTGTGCGTACGGGGCGTGTGCCTGGCGGGCGGGCGGGGGGGTGTGTGTGTGCACGGTGTGCGTACAGGGTGTGTGCCTGGCGGGCGGGCGGGAGGGGCGCAGGGTGTGCGTACGCTTTGTGTTTAGTGTAAGCGGTGTATTGTTTACGTGATGTATGCTCGATATGGGCGTTCATGCGCTGGGAGCGTGTTGTGCTCCTCCACCTCCTCCTCCTCCAACTCCTCCTACTCCTCCTCCTCCTCCTCCTCCTCCTCCTCCTCGTCCTCCTCCTCCTCCTGCTCCTGCTCCTCCTCCTTCCTCCTCCTCCTCCTCCTCCAACTCCGCCTCAAGCTCCTCCTCCAACTCATCCTCCTCTCCTCCTCCTCCTCCGCCTCCTCCTCCTCCTCCTCCTGCGCCTCCTGCACCTCCTCCTCCGCCTCCTGAGGCGATTGGCTGCCCTCGCGGAGCGAGTGTGGGCTAAGGAGGCTGAGGTCGTGGCACTCCGTCGCGGGCCCTGGTCAGAGTGCGGGGAGCTGTCCTCCAGGGTAACAAATCCCTCTCTGAGGGGTGCCACCGACCTCCCAGTTTCAGACTCGCGAGTCTCTTCCCCTTGGGGCTGTCCTAAACTAACCTCCTCCTCCTTCTCTTCCTCCTCCTCGTTTTTGTTAGAGGATGTTTCGAGCAATAGCCCCATATTGAACAGGGGACGTCTTGAGGCAGGTCGTCTGCCACTCCATTGTTTCGAGGACGTCTCCAGCGAGAGCCTCATTTCTAAAATTCCGACGGTTTCACAAAACCCCACGAGATCTCATTTTTCAGAGGATGCCTCGAACAAAAACCTCATGTTCAACATACTGCGTCCTAAACCATGTCCTAGAACATCTAATCTTTTCCAAGATGCCTCGAACGAAACGGCCGTTTCGGGGGGAACCTTTCCGGTCAAAAACGGGAAGCACCGCTTCTCTAAGCTTGCGCGCGCACGCGCGCCTGGTGTTGCACCCAACGCGCGTGTGTGCGCATGGGGTGTAATCGCTGGGATCCCCTGCGTGCCCAGATGGTTGCCATTGGTAGCGTATGTTTAGTGGTTGCCTGCGCTTGCTTTGGATAGGTGCTGCGCCTGGATTGTGCACACGCGTGTGTGTGTGTGTGTGTGTGTGTGTGTGTGTGTGTGTGTGTGTGTGTGTGTGTGTGTGTGTGTGTGTGTGTGTGTGTGTGTGTGTGTGTGTGTGTGTGGGGGTTGTGGGGGGGGTGGGGGGGTGTGGGGGTGTGGGGGTGGGGGGTGGGGGGTGTGGGGGTGTGGGGGTGTGCGTGTGCGTGTGCGTGCGTATGTGTGTATGTGTGTATGTGTGTGTGTGTGTGTGTGTGCGTGTGCCTCTGTGTCTGTGTGTGACTGTGTGACTGTGTGCACGTGTGCGGCGGCTGTGAGTGCAGGCCGTGTGCTGAACGGGCGGGACGGGGGGTGTACGGCGTGCGTGCGGGGTGTGTTTTGGGGGGGATGTAGGGTGGGTGTGCGGGGTGCGTATTGGGGGCGACGGGCGGGGGGGCGTACGGCGGGCGTGCGGGATGTGTTCAGGGGGACACGGGCGGGGTGATGTACGGCATGAGTATGGTATGTGCGTGGTGTACGTACCTATATGGCAATTTGCGTGCTGTGTGTGTGTGTGCCATGTGTTCAGTGTGTTGCATGCGTCGTGAATTGCGTCGTGTGGCGATCAGCGATGGCAGCGTCTTAACGCGCCGAACTTTTGACTCGCATGGCCGAAATCTTCGCTATATTCCGCAAGCGAGCTCAGTAGCTCATTGTTCGAGGATGTCTCGGGCGATAGCCTCAGTTTTAACGAAATGAATCTTAAGCGTGCGGTCTCAACATCTAAATTGTTCGACATCTCGAACGAAATGCCAATTTTTGGGGAGTCCGCCGAACATTTTTGTATTTTTAAAAACCCTTATGCAGCATCGCCTAATAAACTCCCATCGCCTTCTCGTTTCGAGAAGGTACCTATTTGGAACCGGTACCCCCGATCAAGAGATCTAGCGAGGAATTGCAAGGCCAACCGCGTGGGCGACCCTCGTGCATGCGCATCCACAGACGTCTGGCCCTCTGCCAAGGGATTGGCCCGCTCCTTTCGCCAGAGCGTCGCACATGAATGCCTGGCCCTCGGACCACGGGACTGGTGGCAGGCAAGGAAACTCCAACGGCGCAGCGCGGCAGGCCAGATGAGCGTAGAACGGCGATGCTGGAGCCGCCCTTACTAGCAGCGCAAAAAGTCGGCAACGCTCCTGGATGGCGAAACGAGGGCGGCAGACAGTCAGATCGACCACCTGGCTGCGGGCTGCAGGCCGAACCAAACTCAAAGTCACCAGCGCATCGGGCCTGAGGACAGGGAAGAGGCAGGAGACGCGCCAGCGTTGGACAAAAAAACACAAGACTAAGTTGCGCAACAGCTGAAACCTCACCAGGGCGAGCGGAACAATACTTGGCCGAGTCTACGCACGGCGATGTCGGCTCTCACGAACCACGGAAAAATGCTGCACCAACTCCCCATTCTGCCTGATCCGAAAATCACGGAATTGGTCGGTGTAGTCGACCGCGAACCACCTGATGTAGGGTACACGGGAAGCCAAACCACTTGGTTACTGTCGGGTCCCGCACGAGCCATCTGGTGAGCGCGATGTCCGCTTTGTTGTGCAGCCGGGGACCGACCTTGTTGAGGGTCATCAACTCCGTTGCGTCGAGGTAGCAGACAAGCGTTTAGCGTGCACGATGGCCTGTGGTGTCGGGATCGTCCTGAGCTTCATCGAGCCAAATGACCCGGCTATAGCAAAACAGGGAGACGATCGAGGCCCCGATGCGTCCCAACACTTGGGCACCCACGCGTCTCCCGAGGCTGTTGCAACTGCTGTTTGCCGAGTTGAATAACCCCATCGCGTCGACCTGCCAAAACGTCCTGGCCTTCATAGATATCGGACCACGACCGCGCTCGCCCTCTGGCGTGAATGGCACGACAGGCGCGGTGATAGCATCTCATGCTGTGCACTGGCTCGCTCTTATCATCGGTATCATGTGACAACACGGAGCTCCATGGTGATCGTGCCGTCACCGAGCGCTCGGCCCTCCAGCGCGGATTGCGTCGGCTAGCGATGGCGAAAAGAAGAGAAACGAAACACATCATTTACTGCCATCGACTGGGAGGCATGCTAGGCGTGGGCTTGCGACCCCGCTGACATGATGAAACTCGCCAACAACGATCGAGCCAAGGCCTTGAGAAGGCGCTTCCCGTCATCTGCCAAGCGAACGCTCCCGCTCACTCAGGAACCCGTTGTCCCTCGCGCTTCTGTTCTTATGAGTACTGTAGATCGCTTCCTCTAACAAACTCCCATCACCTTCTCGTTCCGAGAAGGCGCTTCCGTCATCAAGACAGGGTCCTGGTGACCCTATCGGGCTTCCGTGGCTTCAGACGCCGCGCGGGGTTGTCAGTGAGGTTCTTAGGGGCCTGTTGGGTCCTCGTGTGGGCTTCTGGGGTCTTCTTGGGTTGTCTGGGCGCGTCATGGGGTTCTGTGGGGGCTTTCTTAGGCGGGCTCGGCGCCATCTTGGAGCTCTCTTGGGCCGTTGGGGCCCTCGTGTTTTTCAATGATTTCGCCTTCGAGGACCCGTCCGAACGCAATTTTCGGAGGATGTCTACAGCGAAACGCTCATTGCTCAACAAAACTGTTAAAAACCCTTTGGCTGTTAAATACTTTCGCTTCTTGGGCCATCTTGGAGGTCATCCGAGATCGCTCCAAAAAGATGCCTTACAATAGCGCTTTCAACATCCCATTTGTTCGAGGATGTCTCTGGCGAAACGCCCATTTTCGAGCATCCGAAAATTAGGCGAGCAATTTCAATATCTTCATTTTTGG